CAAACCTGCTAACAGAACACTTCTTCCTTTGTGTAACCCTTATCTTTATTATTTTTGTATAACTGATGGCCTTGCAATGTAAGTTGAGGCTGATGATGGCCTTGCAATGTGAGATGTTTTAACTCCCTTGGAAACTCATGACATAACTCATCTTCCAATCATAACCTCCCAAATCTGCTGCTGTATCTCCCACTTTGCTCTCCCCTAGAAAGCCCTGAAAGCCCATGGAGCAAATCTTTGACTCTTTGGGAGTGACCCCAGTCAGACCCACCAGTGTAATAAAACTGCTGTCTCCTAAGTGTTGGCTCTGTATCTTCCTGCATTCAGTCCATTTTGCCATAACAAGAGAATTTCCAGAAATGCTTCAAGAAGTGGCAAGGAAGTTGGGACAAGTGTGTTCAGAGAGGTGGAGTATTTTGAGAAAATTATTATCTACATTTACCTGTATCTTTTACTGTAATATTTTTAAAACTTAAACATTCACTATATTCTTGATAACACCTCCTCCAGGAAAGCAATCTAGCTTATACCGTGGCTTCTGCACCACAGAGTTAGTGGCACTGACCTGAATACTGGTGCCTTTCTCACACGGCTTCTGCTTTTACTGTGTGTGGAAATGGGATGTCAGTAGCACTCAGGCCTTACGGCTATAAAGACTGAGGAAGACAACCCACACAGTGTGCTGGCACACCGGAAGCCCACGGTGGTGGACAAGGCCTCCAGCTACCACGGATGCCACCACCACCACTGCTCTGCTGTCACCTGCTGAACATGGAGACTCAGAGAAAGTGTTAGAGAAAACAGGTTTAGCTAATACCAAATCCACGAAAGTATACAATTTACAAGCCATATGAGCAAAACCCAAGAAGAATCAAGTTTCAAGATCAAAGAAGTCTACCTAGCAAAACATACTGTCTAAAAAAAGTTAACCTAGCTAGTAACTGCAAATTCAAATGGTGATCAACACTATTTTCCTTTCTAACTGGCAAAGTTTTTGTAACTAACGCCTAATATTGGTCAAAATACAGTAAAATAGACACTGTAATGTTTTTACAAAGCTATTTGGCACCAGAAGCCTGCAAATGTTCACTATGATGTACTCAATAATTTCATTTCTAAATGATTCCTAAAAAAGCTGAAGTATGTAAAATTTGATAAGCATAATAATGTTCATCACACCATTTGCAGAGAAAATGATGCAAAACAGTGCACAGAAATAAATGAATAAAATTAATGGTTATAAAAATGAAGGATTGTGCCAAAACTTTTGAGACAATGGTCCCTAAAAATGGCTCACTATGCTACGGAATGTAATTTGTGACTGTAACATGAAAAAAGCAGTTGGGAAAGGAAAATGTTAGTAGCTGAATTAGGAAAGTAGGATTTTAGTAACCTTTGCACCTGCAGTTTTCAAGCATTTTGAAATAGAAGTCATTTATTTGGAAAACAAGCATGCATCCTGACTAATATACCCCAAACCGTATGCAATGGTTGGTGTGATGTTGACAAGTTTAGAAGTTTAAGTAGGCGACTCAGCCGGGGCAGGGTCCTCACCTGGTGAACATCCGAGCCTCTGCAAGAGGAGGGCATGGCTATTGTGAGTGCTACACCCACCTGGGGCAGGCAGCCCGCTCACCACACCAAGAGGAAAGGAAGCTTGCTCCCCCACCCTTCTGCTCTTCTCGTTTGCGCTGTCCTCTGCCTCCTTGAGCTGTTGTCCCTCACTATCCCACCCTGCCTTGCAGCCACCCGATTACAGACTGAAACCTCCACAAATTGTGAGCTAAAAAACCTTGCTTTCCCTAATTTTGGGCCTTGGGTGTTTTTGTCTCAGCAATGAGCGAAAAGTAAGAAACTGCTCTGATGAAAACCAGACCACCCACTGGAATTCATATACATCAGCACTGCAGAATGTATAACCCAAGCAACTACTTCTAGACGTGCCCTATTTCCACAAAGTGAGAAATTAATATCCATACATTTGGAGGTTGGCAGAAGAGAGCTGTTCTTCATAGAAACAAGCTAATCCCTACCCTGGCCTCATTTCTACCTATTTCCACTTTCAGGTTGAGGAAAAAGCAAGATGAAGCTAAAGGAAAAGCAGAGCCAATGGCTTACGATCCCTGGCCATCTCCATCTTTAGTGCATGAGAGGAGAGAGGAGACTTTGTAAGCACAGAGAGACAGGAATGAAGACAAATTAAAGTTCTTATTTTCCTCATAAATGCTATCGCTCGTCTCTTCAGATCTTTCTGTCTCTAGGCACAAGACTCAAGTCTCACAAATGTAATGGATTGGGCCAAGTTACTGACTGTCCTTACCACCTGAGCACACATTCACAGCACCAGGTGGCACTGAATGTGGTGACCTTGGTCAGAGGCTTCTCCCAGTGTGGGAGTCGGTGCTTCAGTATGCAACAGCCCGCGATTTCCTAACCCTTCACTCCTCACAGTTAACCCTCTAAGCACGAGGCAACTTGTCCATGAAACTCAAAGGAGTCCTGCTTGCCTCTTGGGTCACAAATAAGTGGAACACTACACAGGTTCAACCCTGTGAGTTCAGGCCACGGTAAGTATGTCTAAAGTGGACAGGCATGGACGCCACTTTGTTTACTCAGCCAACCAAGGCTGTGCCGCCGCAGCCATGCTGGCTAGCTGTGGCCAGCCGCACAAAGCAGCCTATGCTCTGGGGCCAGCCTCGATGACCTGTCTGTTATGTGGCGTCTCCGACATTTTGACGTGCATGTTACACCAGCTGTTAAGCCTAGCGTTAAGTTCACAGCCCTCATACACTTTGTCTTTTTTCTGGCATTATAACTTGGAGACAAATGACACTTCCATGAGTAACAGGATACCTCTAAGGAGCACATCCTTCCTGATGATTTACTCCTCCATCTCATTTCATACCTACTGCCAGAAGACAAAGCAGAAATCATCCACTTCATGTACTTTTGTTTAACAAAAGCCATAACAGAGAAAACTTCATTTGGAAAGATGTCCATCTTCCATAAGCTCCAGAGGTTCAGTGATACGTTCAGGGAAAAGGGCCAACTGTCATGAGCTCCAGTATGATTCTGGAGCATTATGCATTATTTTAAACAACCAAAATACATTAATGTGATGCAAATAGTAGTAATTTGATACTTTTTGAGTTTACATCTCTCCGCTGACTTGGAGAACTCTTAAGAAGGAAAGAAAAGCAGTCTCCAGGCCATGTTTGCATGTCCCAGTGTGGTTAGATTATGCCCATGAGAAAAATGCATCCCTCTGCATGTGTGAGAACTAAGAGTTGGCTGGAGGGCTGCACACAGGCACCCCACCACCGCCAGGATCAGGCAGAGGAGTAAGTGGTGGGTCAGCTGGTGCGCTCTGCCAGGCTCTAGTCTTCCCAGTCTGGAAGGGGTTCATCTAAGGCATGCACTGCAACCAGCTGCCTGGCTTGCACAGGAAGCCTTAGCTCATTCAATTTAAAAACAAACCCTTTCTGAGAATGACACAACCCACAATAGCACAGCATATCTACCTTCTCTGCTTATTCTTAACACTCTTGCACACGCTCAGCAGCACACACTGTGACCAGCTTCTCTCTGCAGATCCGGACGTGCAGGTGCCCGCTGCCCAGCTCCTACAGCTAGCCTACCTTCCCTGCTTACACTTCACACGCTTACACACGCTCAGCAGCACACGCTGTGACCAGCTTCTCTCTGCAGATCCGGACGTGCAGGTGCCCGCTGCCAAGCTCCTACATCTAGCCTACCTTCTCTGCTTATACTTCACATGCTTACAAATGCTCAGCAGCGCATGCTGTGACCAGCTTCTCTCTGCAGATCTGGACGTTCTTTGCTCCTACAACTAGACAACACACGTCGAGTCCATCCCCACTTCTCAATGGTTTCTCTCTTCTCACTGCCCCTGAGGCCTCAAGGAGATCTATGCACCCTGCCTCACCCATGCTACACTGCCACTCATATCAGCTATTCACCAACAGCATTCATCTCCCACCCGCAAGAAAAGCACGTTTCCCACTGGCCTCTGGAAGCACACTGAACCCCTTCATGGGACAGCCACCTTACAGACTTCTGTCCAAGCGCGTCCCCCCCCTTTACCACACCTAGCCCACCTGTGCTCTATGCTGTGCCTCTCATTTCAGACAAGTCCTCACAGCCTTTCTGACTCAAGACATGGCCTTTCTTCTGCAGAAGACAATCTGTCACTCCATCGCTACCCTACAGCTCTTACTAAGGCTTCAAGGCTAGACTCACATTCTCTCTTCTGGAGCCTCTCCTGTCTCTCAGTTATAAGCAATACTGTACTTGCTGCTCCTGCAGTACTTCCTGTGTACCTCTACCCCAAACAGTAAATGCACACAGCGATCTGTTCAGAGAGGGCTCCCCAGAGACAGTACTAGAAATCCTTGAGGGCAGGGGCCATGTCCTTATTCGTGCACCCAGCACCAGCTGCACAGAGCACACACTCAGTAACCCATCAACGTCCACAGCACAGAGCCGAAGGCTGTGAGAGGAATTAGGGCGGGAGAGTGAAGAGCTGCGCTGTAGCCCCAGCTGCCCCTCAGTTATGTGCTCAGAATATTTATTAATCTCTCTGGGCTTTAGTTTTCCATCTGTGAATGAGGGTATGGGACTGCATGAATCCCACAGTCTCTTTAGCTCCTCTGTTCTAGCAGTCTGATCATTTTTCCTTAAAGTCTACAGTGAAAAAAGATCATAATGCCCTTTGGTAATATAATCCAGGAATCCAGATGTTTCTGCACAAAGCCTGCCAGAAGAACTCCCCAGGACATCAATAGCACAGGTTCTTAGCCCCAGCTGCCCTCTGTTCTGCTTCACCTGACACATCTTGGCTCCCCAGTGGCTTATTAAATATAATGCAGAAGAAAAACACCTGATGGCAAAAATTTAGCATTTCTGGAAAGCAGTAAGTGCTAAAGACATGACTACTAATTCCACAGAGCCAAGCTGGCCCTCTATGGCTCCATAATCACCTGGTGACCCCGTACTCCGGGGGTGGCTGGTACCTCAGGACGGCCACTTCTGTTCTCGCAGGCTGAGGGGCAGAGTAAGGCTTGACCATCTCATGGAGCAGCCCAGGATGCTGGTCACTGTAAAAAAGTCCATGGTCTTGGTTCTTGCTGACTGGGGACATCATTTGCTTGGTCTTGAAGGGGTATTCAGGTGGAGGACCTCGGGGGTCCAGGACTTTCCCCGCAGGCTGGGCTGGCGAGGGTCCCCCTCCTGCCTTGAAGCCCTTCCCACTCCCCGAGCCAGGGAGGTGCTGCTGAGCACCGTTCCTCTCCAAGGACAGCTGCATGATCCTCTCGCTGAGGGAGCGGACATGGCCCTGCTTCAGCTCTTTCAGCGCCTCGTCCTTATGTGCCTGTCCACTGCTTGCTCGGCTCACCGTAGGCCTCCCCTCAGTGCGAGACTTCTGACTGGAGCCCCCAGCCAGGTAGTAACCGTGGCCTGGGGGCCCCTGCTGCTGCTGCTGCTGCTGCTGCCCCCTGAAGAACTGTGACTGGGCCTTGGCCTCCTCATAAGTGGGCAGCTCCTCACTGTTCTGCTGTGGCTGCGTGGAGCGGACCTGCTTCTCCATCACCGCGCCGTCCACTTGGTGCTCCTGACCCTGCGGCTCCTGGCGTGCTGACTGGTAGACCATTTGTGGGTCTTCTTGAGTGAGATTTTCCGTGGAAGAAAAGCTGTTTGTCGGGTGGGCTGGTCCTGCACTGCCTGGGGCCTGGTGCTGAATGGCCAGCAAGTTCATGTTCTCGGTTGGGGTCCCATACCGCAGCTGCTCCTGGATCAGCCGCTGTAACACTGTGCCAGCTGCCGCATCCTCGGACCCTCTCATCTCCACCTCCGAGACCCTCAGGGAGTTTGGGGAGACGAAGTTACAAAGAGGATCTTCAACTAAAATGTAAACAGAGAAAAGGTATCAGGCTGTTCCTCAGAGACACATGCCTGTCAGTGTGTGGTAAACAATTAGCATTCTAAGGATAGCAGCATTTAAAGGTAAGATTCCAACACACCGCCACCTGCATCTGCATCTGGATGTCTCCTAGACCTGTTCTCCATGCTCACTCCTCCCACTCCTCTGAGACTTCTCCATCCTTCGTCTCTTGTCTCCTTTACCCTCTCCAATTGACCCTTCTTTTCATCACATAAACATACCCACAACTTTCCCCTTAGAAAAAGCTCAAGCCCAAATCAAATACAAAGACCTCTGTTGGCACCCTACGGTCTCCCTCCTTCTCTTCTAACTATCTTCGGTAAACAACTGTCTGTGCTCCAAACGCTCCGGCCACTGCCCTGACCAGCACAACCCAACAAGAGTTCTCCACCTCATCTTGCACACCCAACCTCTCTGAAGCTTTCAGCATGACTGGCCACCCTCCCCCTAAAATGCTCTCCTAATTCAGCGTCCAAGTCACCCCTCCTTCTGACTCTGCATCCGTCTTTCTGGCTCCCTCTTGCCCCTCAAATGCCATGTTTCCCTGCTCTGTCCTTGGTGCTCTCCAACCTTGTCTCAACAGAATCTCCACTCCTGTCTTCGACTGAAACCTTGAAACCCATGTCTGCAGAGGCAGCCAGGAGCTGCCCAGCTGTTCTACTGGAACACAGCTTCCCTCCCCCTGCCTGCACAGGCCAAGCCCTGAGCTCCACCTCAGCTACTTTTTCTGAAGCCAGAAACAGGGGAGTTTGCCCAAATTGCTTCTTCCCTTCTCCAGCACCCAGTTAGTACCACCTGAAGATTCTATCACTTAAATATCTTTGCCAACCCTCTTCTTTATTCCCACGTAAACCTGAAAGTATTATTATTCATAATCATCATAAAAATCACTAGAAATATTTTGAAGTTTATACGACATGTTAGGTACTGTACTAAACTCTTTCCACATGTTATTTTATTTATTCTCCACATAGTCCTATAAAGACTAATTCTTTTCATTCATAGATGAGGAGAGGCTCAGAGAAGGTAAAACAAACAGGCCACAGAGGTAGGACTCCACACCTGCGCCCAGCCTACAGCCTCACAGGCTGGGTGCCACACTTCTGACCATGCCCGGGGGTCGCGTCTGTGCCAACTCACTTCTGGCGACGCCCGGGGTCACATCTGTGCCGACTCACTTCTGACCATGCCCGGGGGTCGCGTCTGTGCCGACTCTCACTCCCACCTGCAGACCCATGGTCCACACTACCTGAAAACCTAACCACAGCACTTACCATGCGCCCCAAATTCGGCAGTGATCAGTCACAGGCTAACGCTGGCACTCTGTCCCACCCTGGCAGACACTGTGTGCCCACCTAGCAGCACTTCATGCCACCCTGCCTCATACTGGAAACCAGACTGAAACTTTTTATGTTGCAAGCACACTGAAACTTAGAGTTAGGAGACTAAACAGGGCAGGATGGATCAAGGGCTTTGCAGGAGGAGCACATTTAAATAAGAATAAAAATTACCAGAATAAAGATTTTTTTTTGAACCAGGGATTGAACTCACGCCCTTGTGCTTGCCAGGGAAGCGCTTATTCTATTGAGCCATCTCCCCGGCCCATCAGAATAAAGATTTTAATAAAGATAATATAATTCTAATGGGAGATTATTTCTTTGAATAAATAACAAAAGGAATGGGTCTCAACATGCGTGAAAACTATGGAATTCCTTTTTCACTGAAGTCAGAGGAAAATGAGCCAGCACACTTTGGCAAGAGCCAAAACACGGTTTTAAAGATTTTCCTCACAGTTTTACCAGCCCCAAAAGCCCACAGAAACTTCAGCGCAGTGATGCACATCTATAATCTGAGCACTCTGGGAGGCTGAGGCAGGAAGACGGCAGGTTAAGCCCAGTCTAGGCAACCTAATGAGACTCTGTCTCAAAACGAAAAATTTTAAAACAGGCTAGAGACGAAGCTTAGTGTAATAGCCCTGAGTTCAGTCTTCAGTGTCCCTTGGCAAAAAAAAAAAAAAAAAAAGGCATTCAAAAATGAGAAGTTTTTATCTAAGAGGTGCTCCTTCCCTGTTGCATGTGTGAGTTGTTTCTTGTGAGTTATTTATAAAAAGAAATAAAAATGAAAGCAGAAAAAGAAAACAGAGACAGAAGATTCTGCGAAAGGGTAAAAAAACGTTTTTAAGTTAGAGAATAACTGGGGACTGAATGAGGTCATTCTAAAGCTACCACATACGTGTGGCTCTTGCTAAGGGAGTCACACATTACAGTGAAGCAGCCTGCCACGCTTTGTGTCTAGTTGTCACCCCCAAAGCCTCACACAGTTATGGGGTAGCTTCTAGGGCTTGGGACTGACCCATGGTCTAATGCTGAGATTAGGGTGTCACTGCTACACCCACCCTGGGGCAGGTAGGTGACCTGCATATTATATAAGGGAGAGAAAGCGGCTTGCTCCCTGCAGCCCCCACCCCTTTTGGTACTGGGAATCAAACTCAGGACCTTGCGCTTGCCGGGCAGGTGCTTATGCCACTGAGCTATCTCCCCAGTCCCTGCTGTTCCCTTTTTGCTCTTGCTGCTGTTGCTACTATCTACCACCAGGAATGGCTGCCCTCTGCCATGTGCCACTCTGCCTTGGAGCCAGCTGATTATGGACTGAAACCTGTATAAACTGTAGCAAAATAAACCTTTTCTTAATTTGGGGTGTCAGGTATTCTGTCTCAGCAAGAGAGAAAAGTAACCAACACAGTCTTACTAACATCAATATCAAAGGCTGCACATGCTGTTTTTTTCCTATACACCTATGATGTTTAATCTATAAATTAAGCATAGCAAGAAATTAACAGTAGCTAATGAATAAAATAGCTGTAACAATACATGGAAATGACTTAAAATTTCATTCCTGGTATTTTTCATTACATTTCTAGCCACAGTTGATCTCAAGCGAAGCTCCCACAGATAAACAGAGAGCTAAGAATGAAAACACAAGGTCACTGTTTTGCCACTACAAGTGCCAATAAAAAAACCTTACCAATGTTTTCCCTGAGGCTACCGTTCGCTGCCACAGTCAAAGCAGATGCTTCATGCCTCCCAGAAAAGAGCTGAAGTTCTGAGAAAAAACAGCTGGGTTCTTCTAGAATCTGGGTGGGACTGCCACGGCCGTAACAGACAGGAGGCAGAGCTGGCAGAGAGAAAGTAAGAAGGCCACGTTAGCGCCCACCACGTGCCCCCGGAGGAGTGTGGCCCCAGACAGCACAGCAGGCACACTCCCACTGTGGAGCCCGCGGCAGCGGCGGCTCTTGTCTCTCTCACTCACAGAATCCCAAAGACACTAGAGTGCACTATCACAAGCCCCCAGCCTCCCACAGTGACCCAGGCCAATCGAACGCAGACTGAACAAAGGCATGAGCACTTTCACACAGCCTACTTTCAACAACAAAAGTCAAGTCCCTGGGAAAGTTAACAAGTCACAAATTCCAAAATGGTGGGGCCAGGGCGATGGCTCAGTAGAATAAGCCCTTGCCTGGCAAGCACAAGGGCCTGAGTTCAATCCCTGGTTCCGCAAAAAAGAAAAGAAAAAAAAAAAAAGAGAAAGAAAAGAAAAGAAAGAAAGAAAAAACATGTCAAAGTAAGGGAAATAGGGAAGGCAGCCAGCAATGGAAAACTAAAATGGGAAGAGAGCTGGTTCTCAAAATTTACAAAAGACACAGTAAAGAATGGCCACTTTGCCAGACCACATGTCACCAAAGGAACTTCCCAGCACAGGATCTCAGAGGACTCAGCTCACTGGAGGTCTCTAAAGGCTTGAACTGCAGTGCAGAGCAGGAGTTCTGGATTGGGCCTCTGCCAGGCATAGCCTTCGCCTCTGGCTTATCTGCTTTCACACACAAGCCAGCGTGTGCTTCCTCCTCCAGTTATACTTGGCACAGGCCTCAGGCCTACAGCTACTGAACTAAGACATCACTCAGTCACACTGATCCCACACCGCCATCGTGGGAACTCCCAGCTGCTCGGGCCCAACCTGTCTTCCCGCTCAGCTCAGACTCCTTCATGTGGGCACCAAGTCCCAGGCTCTTTGTGCAAAAGTAAATTAATTTACTCTGGAAAGCTTTGCTTTTTTTTAATGAAAATTCTTTTCCCAAACATAATTCCATTACAAGCAAAGTCCAGTATTTCAGCAATTGTTCCAAACTGGCCATCAGACATTTCTTCCAAAGTCTATCTATCCATTTCCCACAAGGCTGCAGCTGCTAGTAAACAGACTATGCCAAGGGCTGTGCAGTGGGACCACACCTGACTTCTCTGTGTTTACATGTGTGCTCAGCTCCATCACAGGTATGTCTGCCCTAAGGAAAAAAAGGGTTTTGATAACTGAAATACTTACCTTACAAATTGTAAATCATGTAGCTGTGACTCTCACATTGAAGATGAACATAAACTAAGTGTGAACGGCATATTAGATGTAGACAGTTTAAAATTACTGTTCCAATACATCAAAGACCATTTGTCAGCCTTCTCTTTTGCAGCCAGCCTTTCCCTCTTTCTGGGACTCATCCTCCACATCAGTGTATCTGGAAGCCTCAGACTAAAATCAGAACTTGTGGATGGCCTGCAGCTGAGTCAGTTATGACCTGGCTTCTACTTCCACACAGCTGCCAAACGTGGAGGGAACAAGGTACAATACTGGCTGCACACTAACACCGTCCGGGAAACATTTACAATCCCAGAACCCAAGCCTCAGTCAGAACTGCTGGGCTGGAACCCAGGCACCTGCATTTTATTGACCTCGTCAAGGATTCTTACGTGGAACCAAAGCTGGAAGCCATGCACATGAAGGAAAAGAACAAAACCACGAAACACCTTCCTGTGCTTCCATTTCCTTCCCTCCTACCACATCAGAGGGGAGGAGGCAAAGCCCACGTGCATCACTGGAGCGAAGTGTGGTATTTCTTAAGACAGATCTGGTTCAGGAATGGCACGTGGCAGCCGCTTACACCCTCAGCTCATACCACCTTGTCCCTGACTAAGAATACCAAATGCTAAGGAGAAAACTAGCAACAAAGTTCAGCTGTGCACGCACATACGAGTGTACGTGCACATAGAGGAGGATGTACTTCCAACATGAAACTCAGAACGGACCCTTGCACTAAGCCATTTGTCACCACAACACTGGCACAAATTACGCGCCCACATTTTATCCCGTGGGCTTCCAACTGGCAGGAGGCTCAAGAGCTCCAGGCCACGTAACACCACACACACAGAGGGCGCTGTGGAAGCCAGTGCACAAAGCACACCAAGACGGGCCATCTTTACCATCTCCCCTCAGTGTTACGAGGAACCAAAGCACTTCACACACACACACACACACACATGCTCACGTGCCCACTCACATATCTGCGCAGGTGAGGGCACGGGACCCAGTGACGAGTCAACAATCTCTGGAGGCCTCTGGCACACACCTGAGGACCTACATGTCCACCATTTTAGTTCCCACTGCAGCACCACCCCGAGGTGCTGAAAAAAGGCAGGAGAGCTGCACAGACAGTGAAAACAGACACTGCAGGCAGACAGGCCTGGTTGTCATCCACCCTCCAAAGCCATGCGACACCAGGCGGGCTCTCCCAGCACTGACATGGCCAAAGCAACTGCTGTGGGCAGCTGAATGAGACAGAAACATTGCAGGGAGTCAGACAGGGCCAGGCCCCCAAAGGAGACAGCATGGAAGACGAGACTCCTTGCAACTGTGGGACAGACAAAGACCAAAGATCGAACAGATGCTCACCTCCCTTAAGATAAGCATCCGGGCTGCCCATCGTCTTGAGGGAGCCAGGAAGAGTCACTAACACTGTTATCAGCTCTGGGCTAGACTGTTCCCTATTTAACCCACTTGCTGTGGGACTCGCTTCCCCATTTGGTCCTGGATTTAATCAGTTTTCCCTGAGCAAGTATGCCTGTTATCTTATTGGCTGACCTCAGTTTTGTCCTACCTCATGTGTGAGTTCCCATGTTTTCAACCTTAGACCCACCTCACCACATGGTTCTGCCCTCTAGAAATCCCTAGAAATGGCAGATTCCCAGGCAACCCACTCTGGTTCCCCTTCTGTCCCTCTCTCAGACAAAAGCTTTCTTTCCCCCAATAAAAAAATTCTGCTCTGAATCTCCATCTGCTCATAAGGTTCATTCTTCGGTTTTAGAGAACACAAACTCATCTTAGGCCCTTCAGGTTGGGAGTTTCACTCCTCCATATCAGTCAGCCTTCCCACTTTCTCACTTGCAGGACGAGGAAAGTGGCAGTGATTGGCAGTGACGCTTGTCACACTGCACTGGATTCCTAAGCCACACACCAAAGCCAAGAAGAGGCCCTCTTCCTCCCTCGCCTGACATGCCTCATCTGTCCCTGCCTGTTCTCACGCACTGTCTCCCTAAAAACTCCTGTAGCAGCAACGGAGTCTATTTTCTTTAGTGAACTTTGCGGCATGTAATCTAAACAACATGGTCAAAGCCATCTGAAATGAGAAACTGCAAGCAGACATACAGCATGAGAGGGAATGCTGCCCTCTTTGTTGGAAGTTTATCACTGGGAGAGACAGTGCTGAGAAACCCCAGGAGGCCCCAGACACCACTACCCGCCAGAAGGCCCTGGCAAGCCTGGCTTGGACGGGGGCGCCGCCGCACTGCCCACATGGGGGCCTGCAGCCTCCAGGTTCTGCTGACTCCACGGTGTGGAACAGGCACAAGGCACTTGCTGCAAGGCCCTCACAGAGCCGCTTCCACACAAGGCCCTCTTGTCTTACTGGTAACTAACTGTTTCCCTTCTTCTTTTCACATTTTTTTTCATGTATTTATTTGCAGTTTGTAGTTCTTCATTTGAGAAGTATGTATTCTTCTCAGATACCTACTTGTTTATTTTAAAGAGAATAAGAAAACTGAAAAACATTAAAAATGATACAGAATTTCAAAACATGAAAGAAAACAATGGTTGGTATATTGTATATTGTAATCTTCAAAGTAATTGTTCAGAGTACCAGATATAGGCATGCAAAATTGATCCAAAAAATTAAGCATCAACTGTTCCTCTCAATAAACCAACAGAAATTAGGAGTACAATTATCTTAGCTATCATATATATA